GGTCCCTGCTCCGAGAGGGGCCCAGCTGCAGAGCTTGGCTCTGGCCCTTCGTTCTCTCACACAGGTGGCTCATCCTTCACTCAGAGCTGAGTGCAGGTGTTCTGTCCCTGGCCTTAGAGGGGCCCAGGGGGAGGACAGACTCACATTTGGTCATGGTGTAAGTGACCAAGCAGAATCCAGTCCTACACAAGGACCTAAGGGAACGGGAATCTCACCTGGGACACTGCTGGGGCACCTTCACCAGCAGCTCTGAGCCATCCTGGGCTCAGCCATCAACAGCTTGCTTTTCCTCCTTGTGCAGTGTTCAGCTCCAGAACAGAATCCATTCCCCAAGTTCAAGTAAGTTCTGCATTGTTACTTTATTATTTTCCTTTGTAAAATATTTCAGCAGCATCAGCTGGGTAGGGATTTTGAAGCTATTTCCTTAGACAGAATTGCCTGCTCCAACAGTGCAATTTTCCCCTAAATACAGTTTTTCCAGCTGCATACATAACTAAAATAAGACTCTCCTTTCATTCCTTCCCTGTGGCTACAGTGTAATTGTGATCTCGAGTAGCTGGGAGGTTCCACTGTTCAAAAGAGGAACTTTAGGAACGTTTTTGACAGCAGTGATTGAGCACGTGCTGCCCAGGAGCTGGCTCCTGCCTGGATCCCACTCCAGGTCCAACTCAGAACTGAGGAACATTTCCTCTGAAGTAAAGAAAATGAAATTTAACAGTTCACACACTGCTGCTGTTCCACTGGTGCAGCCCCGGCCGGCAGCAGCAGCACAACAGGAATCACCTGTCCAGGTGTCTGCAGGTCTGTCTGTTCACCGTGCAGGAACAATGAGATGTCTCAGAAGAAGTCAATGCAGTCACACTTTAATGTGTCTTTACATCCTTTTACGATTCACAAAGTCAGAATATAAGTACTTATACACTTGTAATGGGGAAGTAATGTATCCCCCTAAAAGAAAAATAGATGTGATTAATCATTTGTCAGAGAAGTTGCCTGACAGCTGAAACCTCAAGCTTCTAGGCAAAAAAAGCTCAAATAGACAAATTATACTGAATTGTTCTTTAAAGACCAAGCAGCTGTTTTATTACAATATTAAATTTACATTTTAAAAAGAAATATTCTGATTTATTATTCAGTTATGATAATCTTATTAAAGTGACATGAAATTCATGACAATGGGCTTTTTTCTTCCTCAGTCACCACAGGCAATCTCAGATCTGTGCAGGATCCCACACCCAGAGCAGCACCAGTCTGGGAAGACAAACCCCAGACACTCAATTTTAACTGGAATCTGAATTTCCCCAGAAATGTGGGGTGTTGGGCTCTGTAACTGGGCTGGGTGCCTTGGTTCAGCCCCAAAGAACCCACCCAAACTTGTTCCAACAGAGAGAGGACATCAGCGTCCACCACCTTCACCCTGCAGCCCCGGAATGACCTCCAAACAACTGGGAGCAGGTTGAATTTACATTTTACTTCAAAAAAAAAGGGGGAATACATACATGAGGGGAGAATGGGGTGAACAATAATTATCTGAAAGCAGGTTTCCACCACTGTGACCCACAGCTCCCAGCAGCCTGGGGCCAGCAGGCTCTCCAGGCTGGCTTTGTGAGCACGGCCAGGACTGGCATCATGGAAACCCCTGGGAAGCTGAGGCCGATGGAAGCAGTGAGATCATACACAGGGTGAGAGTGTCGGACACAGCTTCTGCTTTAAATGATGGAATGCACCAGCAGGAGGGAGAGGAGTAGTTAACAGTTACTAACACTAGAATAATCAAATTTGTATGTTATACATATACAGCAACTAACTGCTTTACAAAAAAAGCAAAATAATACAATATATTGTCACATGTATTTACAGTGTAGTAAATATACTTTTCTGTCAAATTTTACACAAAACCTATTTACAGGTGAATATACTGCATAAAAAAAAAGGTGGGACCAACACTCTGAGTGACTGTCTGTGGTTTGTTGCATAACAATAGGACGTGCTTTGTGACTTCGGAAAAAATTAACCTTAGAATGAAACAGAAAAAGCCCTAAAACCTACAACCCGGGTCAGGTCAGAGCCAGCCCTGGCACGAGCCAGGGGCTCAGCCCTCAGACTCAGTGAAATGTTCCCTGTCCTGGGAAACCTCATGCATGGGAAAGCAGAAACGTCGGCATCATTACAGGTAGGTTATGCACTATTCAAATACTACTGAGTTATCTTTAAGTCAGGGAGAATACAAACACAAACAGAATGTTAATTGTCCTTACAGTACTGAGCTGTGGTCAGTGTGGGGCAGGGAAGGGCTCTGAGCCAGGGGGCCACACACGCTTCCCGGGAGGGCGTTCCATGGTCCACGTGTTCCAATGGGATTTTTCTGAATTGTAAGTTTTCATGTCAGAGCACAGGGACTCTGGGGCTGCAGCTCCAGCCCTCAGCAGAGCCTGGAGCAGCAGAGCCTGGAGCAGCAGGCACTGCCAGTGGCCCGCGGGCTGCCCGGAGCGAGGGGCACTGGGGACCCTGGGATGGGGCTCCCTGTCAGGTCAGGGCTCACACCCACACTGTCACCAGCAACAAGCTGCTGCTCACCAGAGAACAGAGCAGCAGGTGGAGAACGGATGGAGCAGCCCGGGATGGGAGCAGAGCTCCCAGGGATGGGATGGGATGGGATGGGATGGGATGGAGAGTGCTCAAACAGGGAAAGAACAAAGGAAGGAGGACGTGAGAAAGAAAAAGAGGCAAATCCCAGCAGTGGCTGCTGGAGGGAGCAGGAGAGTGATGTACTGACAGTAAGGCACTCAACAACTAATTACTGATGGGAGTTTAATCATTACACAAAGGCCATGGTTCCCTGGGAGCCAAGCACAAGCTTCCCAAGCACCAGTACTAGGAGACAACGTTCCTGTCTATCAGGGCCCACGATCCCAAAGCCAACCTTGGCCAGCAGCAGTCCTTACACCCCAATTCACCCATTACCTGGGTGTCTGATACCTCTGCCAGAGTCCAGGCCCTCTCACTGAACCTCTCACACAGGGAAAACTCCAACCAATTCCTTCCAGGAAAGAGGAAATTCATTTTGTTCACTGACTTTAGGAAGAGACCATTTTCTCCAGCTGGGGCTGAGAGGCTGGAGTAGTTCTCACAGGGAAGGTGACTTTGATCCCTGTCCCCTCTGCTGCCACATCTCTGTGCTGCAGAGAACACAGCAGTTCTGATGGAGGGACACTTCTGACATGGGCGATGCACAACAGTGAAGGCCTTGCTCTCTGCCCACACAACGTCAGTCAGGCAGTTCCTCTGGAATTACTGTTCCTGTTTGCAGGAGACCTGCTCATATGAGAAACAACTGAAAACAGCACACCACCTTTACAAGAGGTTGTTTTCCTCCTACATACAAATCCTCAGGCTTCTACAATTCCTTGTCCTCAGCAAAACGGGAAGGGCTGAAACCAGCTCGACTGGGCACAACCCAGTGCAAACCCCAGTGACACCAGGGGTGGCTCCTCACAATCTGAGTTGTGAGGTGACAATGGTTTCTAACCTGGGGACCCCAAACCCAAGGCTTGAGGCCCTGCTCTGTCCCTGGGCCCAGCTCAGCCTCGTGGCCCTGCTTAGACCCCACTCTGTGTCACCAGTGACCACGTTCCTGCCCTGGCGCCTGCACCACCCGAGTGAGGGATCTGGGTAATTGCACCAGTTCACCTTTCTAGCCTGTTTATTCCATGACTTGTAATTCTATGTTTTCCTCTTGTTTTGGCAAACTACTTGCATATGAAGTTTGTGTTCATAGTTTTTCCAGGACTGTAAACAAATTAAAGAAATTGTTATTTTATGAATCAATACAATAAAGGTATTTTTATTTACATAAATGTTACATTGTTACTGTGTGGATACATGGGAATTATGTGCTATAGCAATAAATTGGAACCCTTAATTGTACCATTCTCTAATAATTTAGCTGTGGAGTTTGATTTACTGAAAGCCACTAACGATTGCACTGGAGGACTGGCTTTTATCTAATGGATATACTTTTTTTTCCTTTAAAGCCATTGAAGGATTGTTAACTCCTACCCCAGCAGAGGGATGTGAAACCGGGAAGCGGATCTGTTTCTGAGCAGGAGCCGTGTGAGCCCCAGGGACACAGCCCCTGCCCGGACTCCAGCCCGCG